TCCATCTCTAAAGTGTGAATAACATTCATATTTTAGGATTGCTCTAAGGGTTCAAGAAGATCATATATGCAAACTACTATAATATAAATGCTACATAAAAGATGACTATTAATGTTAAAGACATCATTCCCTTTAGACATTTATAAGCATCAAAACCTTTGATTTATCTACTCAGTCATTCCAGTGAAATTGCCAGAATTTAATGTGCACATGTCTTGCTCCTTTACTAAAAAACACATTTATGGGACAAGGAATTCGTGAAGACATACACCACATTTGCAGTCTATCTGGAAAAATGAACATATCATCTCATCCCACTGTCTTTGCTCGCCAAACAATATGTCCAATCAAGTTATCATGTGGCATACCAAACAATTAGTTCTTTTGCTTTTTTCATGTTAATGTTGAGTAAACATATCACTGTAAGTGATTGATATGATTGTTTAAATATGACCAGTATTTCTATATCACTGTACATTTTAGTTGTATATTGGACACCCTTATGTGTGTTGGCATTTTTTTTCCTTTGGAGATCTGCTCTGTGAGTGAAAGGCTAAATCCCAAACTCAGAGCTGTTTATTTTTTGTTTGCTCTCTCTAACAGGAACAAAAAAAAGGAAGAGCAAAGAGAAAAATGTCAGCTTAGATCTACTTACAATATATGAGCAAAGTCAAAAATGAAAAAAATAACATAAATAATGAATCCTCAGGTTGCTCTTTGGGACCAAATAACACATTTTGAAGGCATTTGTCCATCATCATCAGAATCTCTTTCTTAAATGAAGAAATAGAATTTACTTCTCTTATCCTGTCTGAGATCATAAAGTAGCTTAACACTACTAAATGTATATATAAATATTTCAAGTAATGAAATGCCCCCAAACTGCACTATGACCATTTTCTCCTGAGGCTAAAATTTGCATTCTCCTTTCAGTTCTGCCCTCAGTGCATGAGTTATTGACCTTAGTATCGGCAGTAGAAAAGCTTATTCATGCCCCAACAGGAAAGCCAGTTTTTGCTTCTGAATTTAAACTTGACTTCCAATAGCAACCATTGTCACTCAAAACTCTATAGTCGAGTTGAAAACACACACCTCCCTTTCTCTTGTCCAAGGTGCACATGGGAATATGTGGTTTAGTGTGTGCCTCTTTTACTTCAACACATACCTCTTAGAATTATTTTGACATTTTCTGAATTCTTAAGTTCCACATGTTTCTTCAGTCTCTATTTAAGCCCAAGCTGTAAAGTTTGTTTTCAACCTAGTGTCTTGTACATCTCATTGTTACAGTGGGTCATCCTATATCCTTATTTCAGCATTTTATTTCCCTTCCCCTCCCCAAATTAGAAAAATGTATATACAAGATGCAGGGCATCGGAATCAAATACAGTGAAAACAGGGGTTATAGCATGGAGGAAGAACATACAAAACAAACAAAAAAAATCACACAGTACATTGTAAGTACATTAAAAACAGCAGCAACAAAGATAAAACCTCTTGTGACCCTATCTTGGGATTCATTTGCTTGGCATCATTTTATATGGTCGTTTATATGACCAAGCTCTTTATAAAATTGTCCAAATTTGTTTCTTCCAAGTGATGACTTTCTGCAAGGATAGAAATGCCCTTGTCCATTAACACTGTGCTCAAATTATCTGTGCTGATCATTCCTACCTCTCTCCAAAATCGAGGCAGGCACACTATATACAGAGAGAGAGACAGAGACAGAGACAGACAGACACAGACACAGATACAGAGAGATTTTTTTCTCTACTTTTTATCCTAAATCCCCTCTGGAAGGGTATTCCATGGAAGGATATAGAGGTGGTTTTCATGGAGACAGTGCATCCTCCTCAACTGGTCCAGAAGACAATAGAAGTGATGTCTCAAGCTGCCTTCAAGAAAATGAGTCTTGAGAGCTTTCAGTTCAAGTTGCCTGGGTTTCCCTGGTTCTGTTCCCCAGCACTCCGGGAAGCTGTGGATCCAGCATGTGAACTGTGTTATCTCCCCACTAAAGTGAACTGAACCACAGGGGTGTCCCTACACAAGACACTCAGCACTATTCCAGGAAGCCTGCGGGCAGTCACTGGAGGAGGAAAAGAAGTGCAGAACTGAAAGTTAAGATGTTTTTTAACACAAGGAGTGGAACCTCACCACCCACATGTCATCCTCTCCCGGAAATGCCATTTCCTCTTCCAAGAAACAAAGGTATGGAGAAGCTTTTGGCACCAGGCCCATGTACTACAGCAACAGAGGGTCTGATCGATCATAGAAAATCCTCTGAGTCTGAGAAAGAAGAAAGCTGGTGGACAGTTGTGGTCAGCAAGTCCACAGGTTCCTGTGTCACCTAACATGTACCAAGAAGACATTGGGAGTCTTATAATAAAATTTTAAGACAAATAAACATTTTTTCCTAAGATATATGATGAATATTGTTGGAAAAGAGCTAGCCTTCAAATTAATGGGATTCCAATTGTAGGACTAGAATTTTAGAGTACATGAGTCTTCAGAGATGAGATATCCAGAAAAGAGAGAGAGAAAAAACAGAGAGTGATCATAAGAATGGAGGCAGGATTTGATAGAACCTGGCATGATTCCAGAGGCTGACTCCAGGCTGCTCAGGGTTTGAGTTCTGATGATAAGATCCTGCACAAGCCACTCATCTCTTTAAATCACATCGTTTTCATATGCCAAATGGCAATAATGGTAATGGTGGTGGTGGTGTTGATAGCTACTTCATAAAATTGATATGAAGCTTAAATGTCGTCTCTCTAAAGTGTCCATCATATGGCCTGTTAAATAGGTACTTAGTAGAAAGTCAACATTATTACCTTTTGAAACATTTTTAAAAGCCATTGACAAGTAACTAAATTAACAACACACAAACTTTCCCTGAGCTCTTGTATACACCCACCTGCACACCTATACACCCCGCTATACACATATACACACATATGCAGACATACACATATGCACATACACACATGAATGTACGTATCCTTCTTCTCCTTACATCCAGACATGGGGCTGTGAGAAGCCCTCAGCATAGCAGCCATCTTACCATTTCTTCTCAGGCTAATCATACTCCAGGGGAATTTAGAACAAGCAGTTTCTCTGCTGCCCTTGCAGAGACAATATGCCATAGGTATCATTCCTTCACCTTGTTTCTCAATGCACATATTTATTTTGTGTGTGAAATGTTCATCATTAACACATCATAGGGACTGACCTGGCTCTGGTGATGTCACAGATGAGACAAAACACTTACACCTCTGAGCTAGCATCTTCCAAGTACAACTCAATGCTGTTTGTTGCTAGATCTTTGTACAAATGGAAGGAAGATAGGAGTGTGTGTGTGTGTATGTGTGTGTGTTTGTGTGTGTGTGTGTGCTGATGAATGAGCTCAGGACCCATGCTTGCCAAGCACGCTGTCAAATGAGCCATGCCTCCAGGTATGTTTAACCTTCAAAGGTGTGTGTGTTAGCTTTGCTAGGTTCCTACAAAAATCACTGTGTCTGGCTTCCTAGCCCAGTCCTGAATGACTGAATCAAGTTAGCCAACTTTGGAGCCTCAGAATTTCCTTTTAAAATAATATTCTATACTTCAAAAATCAGAAACTAATATCACCAAAGGCTTGTGGTTCTTTGGTACACTTGTAATTAAAGAAAGAAGAAGAGGAGAAGAAACAGAGAGACACAGACAGACAGAAAGAGAGAAGAGTGAGAGAAAAGGAAGGAAAGAAAGATGGATGGAAGGAAGGAAGGAAAGAAGGAAGGAAAGAAGGGAGGGAGGGAGGGAGGGAGGTAAGAAATGATTACTGTTTTATTTCTCAGACTAATTTGAACTTAATAAATTACAGCAACAATCAAATATTAGTTATCATTTAGTGTCAACATGGAAAAGAAATCACTCTGTAACATAGTTTTAATTTCCAATCTGAATAAAAAATAATTGTTTGACACATGTTAAAAATTGCTCTATTTATTCTCATTGTGATCATCTTTAGTATCTTTTTTTTTAATGTAAAAAAATCCTAAAATGAGAAACGCTCTCTTCCGGACTGTGTTGCAACTTTTAAGACTTGGGGAGTTTCAAGCTATTCAATTTGGAAAACCTGAATTGCTTTAAAGATTTAAAGAATTAAAGATAATGAGCAGATGCAGAGAATCGGCAAAATGCAATCGAGAAACCATTATCCTGGGATCCGAATTAAACCCAAACCTTCTTGGGTGGTAATTTGGAAGGGGAAAAAAGAGGGGAGAGGGAGAGGGAGAAGGAGGGAGGGAGAAAGAAGGGGGTGGGGAGAGCGGGAAAGAGAGGGGAGAGAGAGAGAGAGAGAGAAAGCGCGCCACGTTTGCAAGTCGTTCTAATGAGAAAACATCTGGAATCTACGGTCTGAGCCCGCCCGCGGGAGGCTCTCTGCGGGTTTCCAGTCCGTGGGGAGGAGACGGCGTGCGCCCCTCGATCCTGGCTCGCAGAAGGGGGCCGCGCGCTCGGGTGCAGGTCGCCGCGGAGCGACAGGTGGCCGGGAAGCCATGAGGATGGAGGGGGGACACGGGAGGAGCCAGGGAGAGGCAGCCCGCAATCGGCGGTCTCAGCCTGTCTGGGGCTGAGCGCCGGGGTCCCGGGGTCCCCCGCCTCCCCGGGCCAGCCGGGCCGTGGCGGGGGAGGGTGACCACGAGCGCCCCCTGGTTGGTGCCAACCGCGGAGCGCGCGGCTGGCCCGGCCCGCGCCCGGCCCCGCGTCGCCCAAGAAGCCGCCCGCAGCGCCAGGACCCGGTCGCGTCCCCCAGGTAAGGGTCCCTGCGCCTCTCGCCCCAGGGGCGGGGAGGGAGCGGGCTGGGGAGCCCGGACCCCCCCGGGAAGGGCCACGGTGTCAGGAAGGAGCCTGGGGTCTCCGCGGGAAGGTGAGCCTGAGAGGGAAACCGAAAAGGAGCCGAAGCCCTAGCAAAGTCGGGGTTCGCCTGTCACGCACGCACCTTGATCTCGTGTGTTGCTGGTGGGGTGGCGGCCGTGGGGTCTGGGTTTGGGGGTGGAAGGGACGCCTCCTCTTTCCTTCTCCTTTTCCCCTCTCCCCTGAACCGAGAAGCAGAGAGGCGGTGGAAAGTTTGTAGGTTCTTGGCCAAATGTGTGTGCGCTTTCTGTAAGGCCAAGTGTCCTCTGCTGCCGATCTATAGACAGACAGCACCCCCATCTTTTCTGCCAGTTTGCGGGGAGCCGTAGACAGGATGCCACACGTTGCATCTTCTGGGGAAATCAAATTTCTTTTCAAAGGTTTCCAGTGAGGTGAGGAACTACTGCTTTGATATATATATTTTTTAAGTTGGGGTGCTTAATTCTGCCATCTTGATTAAGATTGTTGATGACCCCACTGAGGGGCCCCCGGTTCACAGAACAGAGTTTGCTTATTAGAGTCTCCTTGTACTGTTGTTGTTGTTGATGATGATGATGATAATGATGATGATGAGCCACAGTTATGACTTAAGTGGCTTGCATACTAAAGGCGTAAATGCTCCCCGTGGGCATGGAGGGAGCTGGGGCTTTCTGTACTGGAAGATTCTAGACATTTCTGCCAGGAGAGTGACCCCAGGTTCCTGTCCTGCCACTCTGTGGGCTGGACAGGGAGTTCATCAAAGATCATTCAGTCCTGGCACAAATGGGGGAGGGACGGATAGGGAGAGAAGGGGACTTGCTCTCCACAACAGCAAGTGGTTGGGGAAAATGGGCCATTTATGCCCAACAGCCAGTCCTCTGGTTTATGCCTCCCAGCCTTCCAAGGCCTATGGAGTGTGCCCAAAAGGCCTGTCCTCCTCCGCTCTGCTCCTTTGTTCCTTTTGCCTGGCAAAGGGAATTCCAAGCATGGGGATCCAGGAGGCTCATGGAAGGAGCAATGCCTTGAGAAGCCTTGGCCACCACTGGGCCTTTGCTGATTGGGAATGTTGGATGGACTAGCAGGTGCTCTGAAAATCCTGGGTCCCTGGCCAGAATCCTTGAACCAATCACTTTGAACTGATCTTGAATAATTCCTAAGATGGCAGGCTGACTGTAGAGACTTCATCTTAAAAAAAAAAAAAGGGTTGTGTCTAGAAAGGGGTGACATTTTGCTACTTGGGTTGCAATTACTTTTGAAGTTTATTCACAGCTGTTTAAGATCCCTCTCTGCCCCTCCCTACTTGCAACCAGTACCATTGTTTGATGCAGGTGTCTCTTTTCTTTTGTTGATTAAATGCACATACATTTGAAGACAAGATGATCTTTAGAAACCTGCAAAGCTCATGCAAGTTAGAGATGTTCCATCTAAATTGAGGTTATCTTTTTCCTTTGTTTTGTTTTGTTTTTTCCTCTTATCAACTTTTGTTTCTCATTTTCAAGTGCAACCTGTTTGGCATTAACAGCTTTTGTTTTCAAAGTCCCATGATTGTCTTCTATGCTTTCAAAATGTAAACGGCTGGGGGAAGGAATCTTGCTACCATCTGCTTTGTTGCATTCATTTCCGCTGCTCTCTTGTGCTATGGTGGCTCAGGGTGACAGGGACCTGGGCAAACTTCTACACCTGCCCTCCTACCAGCCCTTCCTCCTCCAGTGAGAGTGTGCATTGCTACACCAAGCTACCATTGCAACTTGGCTTTCTCCTGCCATCTTAGCTCTCTTTCAGGGAGAACAGACATGTTTGTTCATACCAACATTCCTTTTAGGATCTCAGTGATTGATCCTATTCAACACTGATATTCTGTCTCTCAGTTAGAAGCAGGTATCTGAGGCCTCCAGAAGTAGAGCATATGTCTTTGGTCATTTCTATCAAGATTCCTCATTCCATTGCAATACAGACCTTCTCTCATGCCCGGAAAAGATGAAATTCTTTTCTATAATGAATTCTCTGTGGACCTAGTCCATTATTTTCCTTCAGGGCTATGGGCTTATGGAACAAGTCTCTACCTACAGGGATTCTAGAATGAACTTACACAAGTTCATTTCACAAGCCTCTCCTTCACATGTGGTATTGATTTATAGTGTATTTGACTTTCTTTGAAATAGGAATTTGAATTAGGACTTCCTGTTCTAATGTATTTAATGTGTTATAGTTATTGATTGTGTTATATGCCCCTGAGAATGTTGCTGATCTATTAATCTGATGTATTAATTAATGTGACAGTTTGTCAATATGGTGGTAGTTGATTTCAGGTAAGTTCTTCTTTTATAGGGTTGTCTTAATTTTTAAAATAATTTTCCCCCAAATCATTTAATTATCATCTGTCACATAATAACAATCATATACTATTATAAGATGAAAAGTCCCAGTGAGAGAAATGAAACATAAAAAATAGCTAGCTACCTACTATTTACATACATGCATGCATGCATATATACATAAATGCCCCAAATTAAATCTATAACTTGAAATAGGGAGATTAGGTTTCTGGTGACAAATACAACATTAACTTCATACTTTTTGTTCTTAGTCACCATTTTTCAAGTTTAAACATCACATTTCTCAGTGGTATACACTCAACTTAGTTTTTCCATACCTACTCTATCTGTTAAGGCATCAGTCATGAGAAATTTAAAGTAGAAAACATGATGTTGAGCCAGAAAAAATGAGTAAAAATATGCTTTCTTAAGAGGACTGAAATAATTTTTGTTATTTTGTTATATGGCTTATACACAGTCAAATTCTGATTACTGTGTCCTCTATATATAATCTTAGGGCTAAAAGAGAATCTGAGGTTTCAGAAATTAGGAATAGCTCCACCAAGCCCATAATCATAAGTTTGTGTTCTGGGATTAAATTAACAGATATTAAAATTTCTCACTTTAGCAGTACATCCTTGGACAGGCTGATATTAGCTTTTGTATTAAGCTAATAATATTAATGATAATAGTAATCAGAAATACTTGAAGTCACTATAATATGTAAGTCATTGTAATTTATGTACTAGATATAACAGTCAGAATTTTATATTTAATAAATTACTACTTCATTTAGTCTTCATAAAGCCATTACTGATAAATTAGATATTACTAATCTCTGTCAGATTAGTAAATTAAGGCTCAGAAGAGCTAAAGTACTTGCTTAGGTTTTAAAGCCTTCTAGGAGGTAATCTGGTTTATATGACAATTAAACTCTTGCTATAAACCACAGCACCAGCTCGTCTACCAATTAAAATTTTGTAATGTGATAAAATACACAGGACATCAAGTTTCCCATCTTAACCATTTTAAGTGAATAGTTCAGAGGCTCTAAGTACACAACCACCACCACCCTCCATCTACGAAGCTCTTTTCATCATGCAAAATACTGCAATTCTGTATCTTTGAAACACATATCCCCAGTTCCTGATAAGTACTCTTCTATCTGTCTGTGAATTTCCCTGTTCCAGATATTTCACAAAAGAATCAGATAGTATGACCCATGTAAGTGCCTCAGAAGGCATTCTTTGATGTCTGGCTGATTTCACTTTTACCTTGATGTTCTCAAGGTTCATTTACCCATGTTACAGCATGTGCCAAAAATTTCTCTGCTTTTTAAGTCTAATATTCTGTTACATGTGTACACTGTGTTCTGCTTATCCATTCATCTAGGGAGGATCCTCTGAGTTGTTTTCACCATTTGACCATCTTGCAGCTCACGGCATTCTAAAGGTGAGAGCACACACACCTGCTTGAGATCCCTCAGTGAGTTCTCTTGGGTTTTACACAGAAGTGGAATTACTGGATCATGTAGGAAATCTATATTTAACTTTTTGAGTACTCACCACCCTGTTTTTCACCCTGATCTCTTGGCTTCTCACTGAACATTCTTTGTATGGGTCTATGAGTTGTATTTTCCAAAGTTTATTAATTGTTGGACTGTTTGGGGAAGATACTTCCTCTGGGAAAGTGTGGAATTCACATCCCTCATTTACTAGGAAGAATGTAAACTTTCAGATACCTCATCAGCTGCCTAAAGGATTAGAGGAGGATTGGGAAGAAATCATGTCTATTAGTAAGACCATAGAACATGGTCTTTCAACATGAAGTTGGCAAGGAAAAAAAAAACGTGGCCACCCATCCCTCGAATGATGTGCCCCATCCACCCCCCACCCCAGCATCTCTGCTGGGGAATCTTAGCCTGGTGGTGCCATGTGAGGTGATGTGCTTTTCTTTCCAAATCTGGTGTCACTGTCACTGTGGAATCGAATTGTCTACTTTCCCCAGCATCTATAAATAGGTTGATGAGTTGTGCTGGAAAAACTTATGCAACCATGCAAATTTACCATGTCATAAGTCCATGATTTCCAACCTCAGATGGGCTGTATAACCCGTCCCCCCTCCCCCACCAGCCCTCACACTTTTCCATGGCTATCTCTACACCAGCCATTCCAGATCTTCACCTGCCTCCATTGTCCTACTCCTCACCCTTACCAGCCTGCCTTGCTTCCAGCTTGACTTGAGAAATTTTCCAGATGAGAAATAAACCCCCAGCCTCATGACCACAGGGCTGTGCACCTCACTTTATCTGCACCCCATGCTCCCATCCTTCCCTTGGTTCACAACAGCAATAAGAAAATGCCTCACCTCCAGAAGGGTCCCACCATTCACCTCCTTCTGCATTCTCATGAATCTCATTCACTTAAGTATCTTCTCTCCCACCACCATTTTCCTTCCCTCATTTCTGGCCCTGTGCTCACTGCATTGGGCCTGTTTAAATCCCTTCTTTCTTTACAAAAAAAAAAAAAAGAGGCAATGCTTCTGTCCTTTCCTTCAGCTATTTCCTCCTCTCTCACTGGTCTCTACACTTACCACTTCTGTCCTCATTCCACCTCTCTTGACCCACAGACACCTGGCTTTCCCTTCAGAAAGCATCACACACACTCTCCTCCATGCAAACTTTTGCTGTAGCCCACCCCTTTCTAACTGGACTTTCTATAGCTGTGCTACTAAGTGCTCCTGCATCCACAGAGTCTTGTCTTCCTTCAGCTCCCCCTCCCACTTCTCTTCCTTCCTTCTCTGCTTTGAAAACTCTGAGTCATCTTCCATGAACCTGAAAGTCTGACCTTCAATTTTCTCTCTGTGTGAGGCACTTGATCTCTCTCTCACTGGCCCTAACAGCTATCTCCCTGCTGATTTCAACCCAATCACTAGGGACCCAAATTCCTACTGATCACGAATAGTTTATAGATGCGTCTAGTGCTCCACACCTTGGACTGTATGCTCCATCTTTCTCTTTCCTTTCTTTCCAAGATGTCTGCCAGCTCCCCAGTTCTGTAATTGGCATAGCTGTTACCTGTTACAAACCTAAAGTCTGG